CATTTATCAGGCATCATCATTGCAATCTGATAAATACCAAGCATTAGCAAGGTCCTTACATGATTAACTAACTACATGAGGGTAGGAAGCTGCATGATTCACAAATCTGCAAAAAATAGGATCTCTGAATTACTCTACAATCAATCAGGCACATCTTATGATCTAATCATAAGGATTCCTTACATTCTAATGCACAAAGAGAAGTTCATTGGAGAGCGATGTGATCAAGATAAGATCCTCCTAAATTCTGAGCATGCTTAAAATCCAGGTTTGTTTAATGCTTAGATTGGTTAACCAGGATGTCACCCACTTAGAGAAGAAACTAAACCACAGTTAATTGTTTATGACCCGGAGGATTCTGGATGTTGCCATGTCGGTGTTCATATAATACAAATATGTATTCATTATACATAGATAATTATATAATTTCCCCAAGGCAAACCTCTAGGCAGTAGAGTAGATTTGTAGTTTTCCTTAAATTGACCCCCTCATATACATACTTCTAACAGTAAGGGTTATACCACAATTATAGACTACCTCAGGGCTACAGTATAATTAAAACGTGAATAGTCGATGATCATTCTGACGAATACCACAAACATGATGGTGAAAGGTGAGCATACAGAACTTACCTAAATAAATTGTTAACATTTGTCATTTACTCTATTAATCCGATAAGATTATTCAAAACTAAACGAAAGCATCTCGTTCAAATGAAGGAAAGGCATAATATAATATAATGGAATTTATCATAAAACTATGAACATGAACAATCATCACAGGAATGAATAGTTCTTTACAAGTAAAGGAACGGTTAATGGAACTCTTAATTTGAAACAAAGTTTTATACCAACAGAATCAAGCACATGCCTACGCTAAAGGATCTTGGAATTTAGACACAGCTAAATATGATTTCTAGTTTCAAACTGAGCGTCATCATGATTGTAATTTTTATTTAAGTTTGTTGGAGGGTGAAAGGAAAGGACCCAACACATATTTATTTCAGGAAAAGTCCAATTACGTCGAAACAGACTATTTCTGAGGCGTGGGTCAGTCCATCAAAATCAGAACAGAAAACAAAACACCAAAAAAATTAAAAAGGGGGGATTTGACTTTGAATCCCTTTTTGAGTGACATTTGACTTTGTACTTCATTCCTTCACAATTTGCGGGCTAATGAGATGCACACATTAATGATTTTGAAAATGGGATGCGAAGTCTAATATCACAGAAAACATGTGGCGCAAAGTCAAATCCCTCCTTTTAAAAAACATATATTTGATGTATAGCATAATAATATATATTAAAGTTTCAAGCATTTGAGAGTATTAAAACTTTAAAACAAAATGTTTCTCAAACAATCAGGAATGAGATATAAAATTCAAACCTTTATGATAAATAGAATATATGTACCTTCAATACCCCAACCACGGCTCCGGGGAGCAACTGAGAGCATGGAATTTAGCAAAGCACAGGCAGTTGCCGTGTGATATGGAAGCATAGTCTCCACTCTAACACAGCTCAGCTCAATAGGAGACCTTCATTGAACAGAGTATCTTTTAAAAGAATATAAATCAAATGTAAACCGTATACTTCGTATTTCGATATAGCTAAGAATGATAAGGTTGACCTACAAAGAAAAATACTCTGGCAAAAGTACCTGAAGATTCGGGCAGTGAGGGGTTTCTGAGTGGGGATGCGGAATTGAGGACCACAGGACCCAGGTTTCGCACCGGTTGCCAGTCTGGTTGCGGAAGTTCGGGCAGAGTTTGTGGCGGAGCGGAAGACCGACCTAGCAGCGATGGTGGCCATCGTTTGTACCTATATAGATCGCTGCGAGTGCTCTCGATTTCAAAACTGTCGGACCTTCCAGGATCCCAGGGGGTTTTGATTTTGTCTAATCTAGTTTGATTTGATGATAATGTTTGATTTAATCTGATCTATCTCTTTTTTAAGAAAAAGCCATTTATATTGTTACCTCCATTCTCTTTTAAATTGCAACTTTGGACTTTTTACACTATTCATATGTTTTACTTTGATTCTATTTTATTTATTAATGCATTACAAATTAAATCTGAATAAAATATTGTTAAATTCCTCTCACTTTAAATTTTCATAACCTAATTTTTTAATTTTTTTACTAATACGGAATGAAAGATATTAATGGTCAAACTTGTGCATTGGCAACGTGAAAAGTGGACTCATGCAATTAAAAAATAACAGAGGAAGAATCGGATTGGTGCAATAATTGTCTCACTCGAGCACCCCCAATCACCTCCACCCTGAGGTGAAATCCATCCAAACAGGACTCAATCCAGTCCTTTCATCCCTTTGTCCCTGCACCCAATATAATCCCAATAGCCTCCCTCCGACGGTCAAGCCGAGCGGAACTAATCATGCAATTTTCCAATCAAAGGTATCAATCGTAGACCTATGTGATAAGTATAAATCATGGAGAAGCGCACTATGGAGAGACAACTTGATAAAGGCTGTCCTCGGACAAAAAAAACGGCGCATGCCGCCTACCGGGAAAATAAACCCTAGACGAAAGTTAGGGAGGACAAAAAATTAAATACCTTGACATTTTTGGTGAAAATATAGTGTATTTAGAATAAGCAAATTGTGTTTGGAGTAGATAAAGTATGAATACAAATTTCAGAACTCGATAAGATTTTTTCAGCAAGAAATAAAACGTTTAAAACGGAAGATCATGCAGCAACATATCATCAAATCAAATACTTAGTCTGTTTTGCGTAAAGTTGAAAAGGTGTGGATATCCATGTAATACGTTTCAATCCTTTATTATTTTGTAAATCAAGTGTGAATATAAGTTTTAGAACTCAATACGATCTATCCTAGGTATAAAATGATTGAAAAGGAACAAAGCACGGCAATATATGATCAATTCCATTAGTACACCTAGGCATGGACCCGGGCCGGGTCGGGCCCGGGCCGGGTCAAGGCCCGGTCGGGCCTCGGGTCCTATAACGGTAGGCCCGGGACCGGCCCGGTCAATGACCGGTTCCGGTTCGGGCCGGGTCACCCGCCCGGGTCACGGTTCGGGCCACCCGCCGGGCCGGGCCGGGCCAGTACAATTTTTTTTTTTTATTAATTATATATTACACAAATTGCTATTAAAAACAAAGTTCAAGTGCATTTATTTGAAATAAGAACTACATTTGAGAATTGAGAAAAAAATAACAATACGAAATACATTTTGTAAATTGTAATGAATATCAATTGGGATTTCCGCCACCGTTGGTTGTTGTTTTCCCTTTGTCACAGGACTTCATATGTTTTATTGGCATCCCGTATCCGTATGAACGCCCCAAGCAACAGTCTTTCTTGCACCACCTGCAAGTTGCCCACCACAGTCCGGTCTTCGGGTCCTTCCACTTGTCAAAATTTTTTTGCATAAGGGAAGATGTACTTTCCATATTTAAAATGGTATATGTATAAGTAGGAATGTAGGATAATAAGAGAAGATGAAGATGGAGAAGAGTTTGAGAAGAATTGGAGAAAAGGTGTAGAAAAATGTTAGAAAATAGATGTATTTATAGGTGTTTTTGAACCCCACTCCCCACACCACCACCCCCGGGACCCCCCTGCCCCCCACCCATAGCCCCAACGGCTATATAGCCGTTTGGGAGCTTTAAATTTTTTTTTTTTTTAAGTTATACACATATTGTAAAATAAATTAATTAATTTAATGAATTAAGTAAAACTAAAACAAATGTTACAAAATAGGTGTATAAGTATTTAAACAAATTACATATTCTAAATGTACTTTTAATTTAAAAACCGGCTTTATATTTTACAAAAATAATTTTAAGTCGTTAGATTGTAACCAATTAATTAATTTGAGAAGTGCTACATATGAAAAAGTGAACACATATTTATTTGAAATATGAAGTACAAGTTTACAAATTAATTTGAACTACAACTACAAATTTACAATTTTGAAATATGAAGTACAAGTTTACAATTTTGAAATATGAAGTACAAGTATAAATAAATTTGACAAGTGCTATAAAATACATTTTGTAATAAATTCTAAAATACTAATCAATCGGAATCTCCGGCATAGGTAGAGCCACCATCGGTTGTTGAGTCATCCATAAAATCTTGGGAGGGGGTGATGCTCAATTCTTGAGTTCTACGTGCGGCCTTCAACCAATCGTGGTAGCATATAAGCGTCTCAAGAGACTCCGCGCTCAATCTCGATCTAGATGCCGTTAGGACGTTGCCGGCCGAACTAAATTCTTGTTCCACCGCAACTGTTGAAACCGGCATTGATAGTACTTGCTTAGCCATCCGTGCTAAAATCGGGAACGTTCTTTCTTTTGACTTCCACCAGTCTAGAACGTCAAAGTCATCATTTTCTTCAAAATCAACTTCATATGTTAAATACAAAGTAATCTCATTCAATGCGCTTTGTTCAGTGACGTGAGTTGTTTTAGTTTTTTTCATAAGATTGCCAAATGCAGATTTAAAAATCGATTTTCCTTTAGATGAAGATGTTCGTGACGGGGGAGGGGGAGCGTTGCTATATTGTGCACGAAATTCATTAAATAAGGCATAAAATAAAGTACTAACCTCGTTGTATTCCGTTTTCGGATCTATGGGGTTATCGTCATACATTGGAAATTCACCGAAAAACGCAAGATAATAGAAGTTGAAACAATCTTCCAAATTAGCAAGTCTATAACGAGGATCGAGAATAAATGCAATACCATAAATATGGGGAATATGCGCATAATATTTTAAAAACTTTTCCTTCATATGATCACAAAAATAATGAACGAAAACGGCATTTTGAAATTCTTTAAAAGCATCGGCGAGATTAACAGCTTGTGGAATAAATTGGTTTGCGGTAGGTTTATAAACATGACTAAAAGTTTCAGTAGCATTAAAAAAATATATCAAAACATTACAAATTTTTTCGCAAGTGTCGATCTCAGCCGCGTTTATAATATAGTTATCATGTTCTTTTAAAAAAGCAGGAAAATGTTCTTTATATCTAAGAACAACTTTAAGTAATTTATAAGTACTATTCCAACGAATACTCAAATCTTTAGGAAAAGCAACATATCTCACACCTCTTTCAGTCAAATAACTTTGCCATTTTAATCTAAGTTGACCATTACCCCAAATACGTCTAATCCCCCCCTTTATAACCTCTGTTGAGGTATATTACCCCGGTCCGTTACTGTTCAGGAGCCCAAGGCATCGCCCCAGCTTGGAGCCCGAATGACAAGGTCCATTTCAGCCTATTAGGCATGTTTCGGCCCTTTGGGCCCATTTTGGGCTTACTTGGACCATTAGGTTAGGTTTCCCCCTTTCCCTTACCCCTATAAATATGGGGCTTTCCCACATGTTTAGGGATCTTTTCCTTCTTCTTCCTTCTCACTAGAATAGCTTACAATACTCCATTAATGGGAGTTCAAAATGTACTATGTAATGGTGAGGAGAGTCCTAATGAGAAAGAGAGGGTTTGAACATTAGCCTAAAAAGTCCCGTGGTTTTCTCCCTTTCGGGTTTCCACGTAAAAACTGAGTGTTCATACATATATTTACTATATCGTGTTGGATTAAACTCAACACTGGCGCCGTATGTGGGAATCGGTTCAAAAAGACTAAGCGTGTTCTTCAGCTTCGACAACAAACTTGAGACGAACTGATTTTCAACTATACTAACAAACAAAAAATGATTTTAGCGAAAATGAGAGGAATGAAGTAATTGGCAGCTTGAATCCAGAAGATGGAACGATGGAGAAGCAGTTTCAGCCATCATCAGGACCTTTCTTAGCAAAGGGGAACAGATGGCGGGCAACTATTGTTGCCATCTTTTCACATCAGCTACTACCTGACAAGGAGGGTTGGTGAAATAACCAGTGGGGCCATTGCGGGCCAACCAGCTCCCTATACCGTGCGTCCCCGCGACAATTTGCTCAACTGATCCAAGCATGGTGACGAGCAACAAAGGACGACAAGCAAGGGAGAGATTAGCTAGAAAGCTGGCAGCGATCTGACAGGTGGTTCCACACTTATCATCTATAGGGGCTGAACCCGTTCATCCCTGCTGCAGTGGGAGCGGACCTTCCCGACGCTGAGAGGCATCCGATTGTCCTAAGACGAGCTGCATATGCCATTTTTGAGCCACTGCGTTTCCTCCCATACAAACCCAGAACTAGGACGAGCGCCCCCTAAAGCCAGGACACCGCTCAGGGACGGAAACCGTCACAGGAAGCCGCTCGTCCTCCCAATCAGAACGGGAAAATACTGGTTCCACCCCGGGGTATCAGCCCTTGCCGCTCGTAATACAGCTCCAGCAACTTGCCGCTCGGCACAACAACCCCAATGGCTAGCAGAACATCCATCTCACCAACAGAGACAGCAGGCCGGATTGAGGGTTCATCTCATCAATTGCAGCCGCTCTTATTGATAATGAAGATCGCCACTCCGTCCGTGGACCATATTGGGCTTGGACGCACATACGTAGAGGTTGGCTGGACGTACCCACTCCTAACACCGCTCGTCCTCAGATGGGGCAGCTCGCCACTCCGCTCTTATTGACCAAGGATGCTCGCCGTCAAGGGACCACCCTGCAGCACGGCTTATCAACGGCTCGCCGCTCGGCCGATGGCCACTTGAATTACCACCCGGACATTAATGTTAGCCGCAGGACGTCCAATAGGGAGGCATTCCCCCGCTGGTGCGAGAAAAGGAAAAGTCAGCAGCTCGGTCCTTGGGGCAACCTCCAAATGGCAAGAAGGTCGCCGCCCGAGGGGTACCTTGGCCGGGACCCACGCTCACTCCCTCAAGCCACCGCTGGTGGGCTTTCGCCGGACCGACGGTAGTCCGCCGCTCGGCCTATGATTGGTTGTCGCGCGGTTCTTGATGCGGACTTTGCATATGAACGATTGGGACTTTGCATATGACGTACATCTCCTCGGTTGCCAGCCGTTCGTCCAAAGCCAAATCCCCATTGTACGTCCGCAGGAGTGGGGAAAGTCCGTATAAATAGTTGCTATGGTCATAGGCAGACCACGTCCCAGGAGTTAGGCCAGATAATGAAAGGCCAATTGCCTTGAAGAATTTTGAACAAATCAAATTAATGAAAGGTGTCCAATCTCACTGTACCTGGATACTTATCTGATGGCCGAGCCTTTTATCTCCAAGAGCTAAGTATTCTAACTCCCTCATATGCCAATTAAACATTTGGTAATTGAAATATTTCTATTAGTATTATTTTCATCCCCATTATTTACTAGGGGTTAAAATGTCCCGAAATAAATAATGCTGAGTGAAGCTCGGGGATGAGCTTCCACCGTCACTTTAATTTAATAATTAGAGGACGAGCTGAGCCGAGTCGAGCCGAGGGTCATCGTGCCCCAAGGTCGCCGCTCATATCCAGAAGAACTAGGTGATGGGCCGGGCTGAAGGTCATCGTACTCTGAGGCCGACCGTCATGCCCAGAAGAGCCCCAAGCCGACCTACAAAAAAAAAAAATTGTGCACATATACATATTGTCTGGCCATTTGGCCGCGTTACTATGTTCATTGTGTAGATTAAGATCATAGTCAGAGAGATGATGCTCAAAATGAACCTTGGTGCCAAGGGCTTGGGGACGAGCATCCTCCACCCGGAGGCCGAGGGTCTAAAGAGAACCATCAATAGCCAAGGGCCGTGGACGAGCATCTTTCACCCCGGATGCCGAGGGCCCGATGACGATCATCTATCGTCCAGTGGCCTAGGCCCGGGGACGAGCATCTTTCACCCCGGATGCCGAGGGCCTGATGACGATCATCTATCGTCCAGTGGCCTAGGCCCGGGGACGAGCATCTTTCACCCCGGAGGCCGAGGGTCCGAAGACGATCATCTATCGTCTAGTGGCCTAGGCCCGGGGACGAACATCCACCACCCAGAGGCCGAGGATCTAAAGAAGACCATCAAGAGCCAAGGGCCATGGACGAGCATCTTTCACCCCGGAGGCCGAGGGTCCGAAGACGATCATCTATCGTCTAGTGGCCTAGGCCCGGGGACGAACATCCACCACCCAGAGGCCGAGGATCTAAAGAAGACCATCAAGAGCCAAGGGCCGTGGACGAGCATCTTTCACCCCGGAGGCCGAGGGTCCGAAGAACACCATCAAGAGCCAAGGGCCGTGGACGAGCATCTTTCACCCCGGAGGCCGAGGGTCCGAAGACGATCATCTATCGTCTAGTGGCCTAGGTCCGGGGACGAACATCCATCACCCGGGGACGAACATCCATTATCCAGAGGCCAAAGCCCAGGGACGAACATCTATCATCCAGAGGCCGAGGGCTTTGAGACGCGCAACACATCCTGAGACCGAGCATGCCCAGGCTAAGCATGTTGAGGTAGAAATGTCCCGAGGAGACCCAACCTAACAACTGGAGGTCGAATGTCTCTAGGAATAGGCCGAGGATTGTTGCTGTATGACGACTCCGAGGTCTGCTACCGGGTCGTGCATCAAAAGCAAAGACACATCTAGGCCGAGTTTCTAGGGATGAACGTCCAAAGGAAGTTGGGTCAGGTTTCTAGGGACTAATCTTCCTAAGCATGTCGGGCCGAGCATCCAGAAGGAAAATTCCAGAGCCCCAACAACGAGAGATCGAGTGGGCTGACCGTCAAGGGGCCGAACGTCCAAGGAAGCCCAGCCTAGCATCTGGAGGTCGAACGTCTCTAGGAATAGGCCGAGGATTGTCACTGTATGACGACTCCGAGGTCTGCTACCGGGTCGTGCATCAAGAGCAAGGACACATCTAGGCCGAGTTTCTAAGGGTCGAACGTCCAAAGGAAGTCGGGTCGGGCATCCGTGGGCCGAACGCCCCAATCCCTCGCACCCAGGCCAAGGCATTGAATTAAGCCTTTGCTCCGAAAGCCGGGGTCATGTGCAAAGAAGGCAGAGGAAGAGCGTAGGCAAGAGTATACTTTCTCGAGCAGATTCGCACGCTCACTACTCAAGAAACCGGGGGACTTGTGTTGAGGTATATTACCCCGGTCCGTTACTGTTCAGGAGCCCAAGGCATCGCCCCAGCTTGGAGCCCGAATGACAAGGTCCATTTCAGCCTATTAGGCATGTTTCGGCCCTTTGGGCCCATTTTGGGCTTACTTGGACCATTAGGTTAGGTTTCCCCCTTTCCCTTACCCCTATAAATATGGGGCTTTCCCACATGTTTAGGGATCTTTTCCTTCTTCTTCCTTCTCACTAGAATAGCTTACAATACTCCATTAATGGGAGCTCAAAATGTACTATGTAATGGTGAGGAGAGTCCTAATGAGAAAGAGAGGGCTTGAACATTAGCCTAAAAAGTCCCGTGGTTTTCTCCCTTTCGGGTTTCCACGTAAAAACTGAGTGTTCATACATATATTTACTATATCGTGTTGGATTAAACTCAACAACCTCCATGGAATCTCCTAACGCTTTTAAACCGTCTTGCACACATAAATTTATAACATGACATGCACAGCGTTGATGAAAAAATCTACCCATCAAAGAATTGGCACCACACAACTCACGCAATCTAGGTATAGCAGCAGTATTATTAGTCTGAATGTTTTGTATTACTGTACACCATTATATATACGACCAGGCAATATTTTTGAATTTTAAGGTCATATGTACCTATCCTTTAATGTTTTGTAAATTTAGTCTGAATACGAGTTTTAGAAATAAATAAGATATTTCAACGAGATATTAAACATTGAAACTGAAAAACATACAACAAAATAAGATCAAATCAAATACTTAGCGTGTTTTGTCTAAATATAGTGCACTTAGAGTAAATAGTGCATATTTCGAGTAAATAGAGCCTAATTGAAGTACTTAGAGTTTTGGTTTCATATTTCAATGTAAAAGGTACAAATCATGTAATAATTTATAAATGAAGTCTAAATACATTGTTAAAAGTCGATAAGATCTTTCCAATGAGATATATAACATTTGAAACAGAAAAACATATGGTAAAAATCTTAAGGATGGCAATGGGGGTGGGGCCCATGGGGAACTGCCTCGTGGGGGAGGATGGGGGTGGGGTTTGAGGTAGGACGGGAACGGGGATGGGTGAAATATTTATAACCCCGCCAAAATATGGGGCGGGGGATGGGGATTGCTACACCCGCCCCGTCCCCGCCCCGTCGGCCGTCTCCGCTATAAATATAAACTCAAACATACATATATAAACAAATATACATACATATTAGATAATGTATAAACATATTTAAGTAAATAATGGAGCATGTAATATATAACAAACACATACATATACATATATACATATATAAATGTATATATGTGTATTATTCATGGTTAATGAATTAATACATATTATATCGGAATAATAATACGTAATTAATAACTAAAAATACTTATCATAAATGTTATATGAGTTTTAAAAATGAGAAATTGAGCAAATAGAACACATATGCATATGTGTGTGTGTAATATATAATTAATTGTATTATAATTGATGAGAAATTTGTAACGACATACATGATGATAATATGTTTACTTAAATTTTAACTTTTATTATCTTCACAGAAATTATTCAAATTAAGGAGTTATTAAAAATTGGCAATTAACTTTTATCAAACACAACATATCTAGTTTACCTCTTTTAGTGCTATATATTTACATTAATCTATAGAATGGGTTAAAAATGAAAATAAGATAAATAAAATCTATATAGGAGCACTTGCGGGCACCCGTAGGGGACAACATTGTGGGGCGGGTCAGGGAGTAGTGGGGGGTGGGGATGGGGGAACTTTATAGACATGGGGTGGGGATGGAGGAGTGAAACCCCGCCCCAAACCCGCCCCGTTGCCATCCCTAGGTAAAATATGATCAACTCAAAGACTTAGGACATGTTTACTTCACAGGTTACTAAACAGTGCTTATTAAGATTCGCGTTTATAAGTGGTGCATAAAATAAGCGGTTTTGTAAGCTCATGTTTACTTCAAAGGATTTAAAACACTGTTTAACATTAAAATGTCCAAAATAACCTTATACATATATAGATACACAAACATTTATTAACACAAGTATATAATATAATATGTGCAGGTCGCCTCGTATGCGTACCCCTACCCCTAACATGTACCGTGCCCCTTATACCCCGTATCCCCACCCCTACCCCCTACTCTACACCCTACCACCCCCAATTCCTTGACCCTTTCCCTACCCCTACCCATACCACACCCTTACCCTCTACCCCAACTCTGGTACTCCCCTACAACCCTCATACTCATACTCAAGGCAGGCAGGTGGTATGGGATAAAAGGGTAGGGTCAGGGTAGGGTAAGGGGGTAGGATAGGGTGAGGTCAAGGCGGGGGTCGAGGTAAGGGCAAGTGATAGGGGTAAAGGGGATAGGTAAGGTTACGGGTGGGGTGGGGTAAAGGGTATGTCCGAGGTAGGATGGGTAGGGGTGGGGGATTGGGATCGAGGTGGGTGGTAGGGGGTCGGGGTTAAAGGGGTAGGGTCAGGATAGGTAAGGGTGGTGGTGGTGGGGTAAGGGTATGGTCGGGTTTTGGGGTAGAATGGGATTAGGAGTTGGGGGTAGGGTCATGGTCAAAGTGAGGTCTAGGTAGGGTAGGTGGTATGGGTTAAAGGGGTAGGGTCAGGGTAGTGCTAGGCATTATCCACAAGATAAAGATGATGGGCATGGTCAAGGTAGAGCAGGGGCAGGTGGGGTGAAGGTTGGGGCAGGATGGTAGGGGTTAGGGTTGAGTAGGGCAAGGGATACGAGTATACGCGAGTTGGGTAAGGGATCGAAGGTAGGGGCTAAGAGATGGGGGGTAGCGGGTAGAGGGGTGTCAATAGGGTAAAGGCAAAAGGTAAGTGTAAGGGCAAATTCAGGAACTGAAAAAACTTAAAGTGTCGTTTAATTAATACATAGGGGTGATATACTTAGTAAATGATACTTTAAGCACCTCTTTCAGTTAGTAAGCAGCTTTGTAAGCAGTTTGCGTGTTCACTTCACCTGTCTTACTAACCTAACTATAATTGTAAAACAGCGAATCAAACAACTCCTTAGTTTGTTTTATGTAAATACAAACAACTCCTTAGTTTGTTTTATGTAAATATACCGTGTAACGACTTCCGAGCAAATAGAGCATAGTTGGCACCAAATAGAACATAAATGGGGTAAATAGAATCTGTTTCAATTTCACTGTAAAAGGTGTGAATCCTGTAATACGTCGTTAACAAAGCCTCAATATAATACAAGTGCTAGAACTCGATAAAATCACTATAATGAGATATAAAATGCCTTAAGGGAACACAATATAGCAGAATTTGTTCAAATCAAATACTACAACATTTGCTTCATAGCTAGACCCATTTAGGTTAGGGAGCATTGCCCCTCATTTCTTACCAACCTCTTGTGTGTATCCTTATTACTCTGTATTTTGAAAGTGAAGTTTGAATACTAGTTTTAGGACTCAATAAGATCATTCTGACGAGATAGAAAATGCTTGAAAGAACATATGGAAAGATATTATTAAATCGCAACTACATTGAGAAGGGCATCAGAGGGAGCTCCAGAAATATTGTTCATGTATCTGTACATTTTATGGCCATTTTATGGCACGGAGCTGGAACCAAGCTTCACCGACAAAACAAAATACATTATTAAATACATAACCATCATGAAACATAAATAGACCAAGGTCTTATCAGTGACACTGATGCGGAGACAACTTGATAAACCTCGTCTGCTGTGAAGCCGGGCAGAAAAATACGACTGTCAAGCCGACGAGAAACTCACAATGGTCTTCAAATTTATGTTAGATTAATACTTTAATAGTAACTGCTCACATTGTCAATAAGATAGTCATATGGCGCCGTAGAAGGGTACCCAAACAACCCTTCAGGAACCGGAATCAATTGGTCTGAAATGGGAATCAAGTTGCCATTTTTCGTCCTACCTTTCACAAGGGGGCATTTGTTATCCAGAGGAAATTCTGCTGTGAGTCTCACCATTTTCTTTTGAAGATCAACAACGGACGCTGTACTTACTTTTCCCTTTGGAATCCTCTTTCCATCCACAACCAGTTTGAGCTCCAATCGGTACAAAGCACAAGCGTCACACTTGTTGATTTCATATTCATAAAGGTGCCACTCAAGGTTTTTCATAGGCTGTGGGTCCATATAATAAGATCTCTTCAGTCCCCCAAACTCATTCATGACCTGCTTCCTTGATTCATGCCAACCCCGACCGTTGTAATCAGGCAATGACCTTTGCTTTCTATTCCCACTCTCGAATGCTCTACGGGGCATGTCAAAGAAAAGCCACTCCCTTATTGTTTCACCTTCGATCACTTTAAGATCAAATAGCTCTGCCAAGCAAAAGTGAACCAATTCAACATAAGATTTGAAATTTTTTAAAAAGAAAACAGGGTTGAGAGCATGTTTGGTAAGGGTTATTTGGTTGACATGGGGCTGAACGGGTATAACCGACAATATCCAAGCCATAGTCCCAAAAGAGTTCGGGCTAGGGGTGCATACGAGCCGACTGAGCCCGAACTCGAGCTCCAAAATATTTTATATGCTCGAGTTCGGCTCGAGCTCATATATTAAAACTCGAGTTCGACTCGAATAATTTAGCTAAGCTAGCGATCCACTCGAAATCAGCTCGTTAGCTAAGGCATTGATCCCAGTCTTAGCAAATATGTTGCTTGCCTGGGGCCTTAATAATGAGGTGGAGATCCGGAGATGATCGAATTTATAAATGGAAGGTAGAGTTACATTGTCCTCACTTACCGGTGTGGGACAAATGAAAGTGAGAAGTCTAAAAAACATATGGAATGCTTGACTACCAACAACAGACTAAAAGCTTGCAATGTGGGGATTCGAACCCGGGTGGCCATTGGCTCCTCTAAGGAGACTTCCAACTCCACTCATCATCATGTTATGACAATATTGGTCACGAATTGTAGGTTAATAATATACCATATGAACTAAATAAAAAACTAACATTTACTACATATTACAGATCATGGTTATAATAATAAATATTACTTCCTCCGTCCCGCTAAGATTGTCCCAGACACTATTCACTTGGTCAACACAAATCACTCTTAATCTCTTACTTTATATATCAAATTTTTATCAAATTTGGTTCTGGTTTTTGCGACTTTATGAAGTTTTTAATGCAGTTTCTAAATATGTAAAAAAAAAAAAAATGAGAGCAGACGGGATTTGTTTGCTTTATCGTAGGTCAAGCATCGTAAACCAAATTGTCCCAAACTTAGTAAGATGGAGGTAGTATTATATTTATAAATATTTACTATTATAATATACGGAGTAATACTTATTTCTAAGAATATAAATAACTATCCTAAATTAAAATAAATATTCCTAATTTAATATATATTGCAAATATTATATATGTTAATATTAGTATTAATATTAATATACATAGTATATAATTATTACATATAGTATATGTATACATACACATCAAGGCTCGCGAACAAGCTCGCAAGCCACGAGCTTAAAATAAGTACGCTTGAATCGAGCTTGTTAATTATTCGAGTCGAGCCGAACTCGAGCTGAGCTTAAACATGGCGAACTTGCGTCGAGCATTTTTCGAGCGGCTCACGAGCGGTTTGGCTCATTTACAACCCTAGTTCGGGGTCAGCTAACAAGAGTTTGGGGGAGCTTTAAATTACACCACTAAATTAAAAAGGAGTAACTGAAGCTCACCAGGTGCATTCCACGGCGATTTCGCAGTTGCTGCGCCCTCACATTCTGGAATGCCGACATCCTTACCCTGTGCTTTAGCACTAAGAGCTTGAAAGAGCAAGTTGTCCTTCAAGCCAATGCCCATCGGTCTTAAAATTGGGGGATGCCCATGGTAACCTTCATTTGGAGCAAGGGAACCGTGATAATCGCTGCAATAGTCATGAGATTTCTGACACCAGTCGGACCCCATTGCAGGTCTTGGGCAGTCCCAAAGTGCACACTTTGGCCCTAAAAAGGCAGAAGGTGGGGGGCTAATATGAACCACAGGCAGGTCTTCCTCCAGGCAATGAGTCCCAGCATCGAACCCACGGAAGTAGTGCTGCCCATACTCTTGATGAAATTCATATGATTGATAGTCAAACTGTGCTGGAATGCCCATATTGTTGATCCTTACGCTGTCAGCACCAATGTTATTGCTCTTGCATCGATCAACCAGCTGGAAATGTTGTCCCTGAAGCACTGGCGTCTCGTTGAGACCCTGTGGCATATAGACAATATAAAGTGCAGTTAAGTTTCTCTAACACAATATGCCACTAGAAAGTGTTCTCTTAGGTGAAAGAATGTGATCTGAATTATTTCCAGTCTGGCCTGGATGTTATGGTCTAACTTGTCCAATATCAATGTTTCTCATTTTATTTGATTTTTGTTGTTTAAAGAATAACATCTGGCACAGTCTAATATGATCTGAATTTTTGTTCTGGTCTTTGAATCTTAGGTTTCTGGTCTAAATTGAAAGTTATATTTCCAATCTGATTTGAATGTTATGCTTCTGGTCTAATTAAAATAAGAAAAAGTAAAGAGAACAACACCTAAACTCTTATTATGCTAAGTTTAGGAGAAACAGTTACAAATTTCAAAAGAGAGGAAAATGACATATAGATGTACAGAAAAATGATTCAGAAGAAAAGAGAGCAAGCAATGAACAGTAAGAAGCAACAATAAAGAAATGGTGCGTGAAAATTAGGGTAAAATTAACCAAAACGCGTCATGCTGCCTCACGCCTTTTGGAACTAATCTGCCCTCTAAAACATATGGTGTAGTGGTTAAAATTTAAAACAGCAGCCTGTGGAGAAATCAACTTTTCTCATAGTTTGAATATGTCATAATATCAAAATTTTACTATGGCCAAAACTTTTAATGCTTAAAAACTCTATAAAAGGAGTGCAGATAATTTATCATACCTCTGGATAACAGGCAGCATAAACTTTTTGTGCACCAGGTTCATGCTTGGGTGCATCTAATGTACTGGTGGCATCATCTTCCTCCTCACCAAGTTGCACCAGCCTACAAAGGTCTGATGTGTTAAACGCCAGACTCCCCCCCTGCAAACTTAAGCGTCAAAACCCACAATCTAAAATGTACATACAGGAAAAAACCATAAAGAAGTACATTATGCCATAACAAAAGCAATGATAAGCTCAATTGCACTACCATACAAAAAGGACTATGCACAAATTCAGCTTCACTTCCACATTTACACATCTACACACACATGCATCAACAAGAGACACCATTATCAAACCTTTACAGTAGTGAGAATAACAGATATGTTAGTGAAGTAGTCAGAGACAAAAATAATGGAGGGAATAAATAACAAAAGAACTGAGTTGGCAGTTTGAGGCTAGGGTATGAATAAAAACAGGAGGAAGCAAAGTGGAAAGGTCTCCAATGTTTGTCGCCATACTTTCAACTTAGCTTTAACACCCGTTGTGTCTCATCAATCAATACAAAAACATCGAGCACCACGATATATCTTCTTGAATTGACTTCTTAGGATCACCCATGACTATAACAAATAAGAAAAAGACTCAGAGCTGATCCTTGGTGCACTCCGATGGTAATAGGGAACTTTGACCCCCTCCCTACACTAGTACGGACACTTGTAGTACAAATCTCATACATATCCATGATGATACTCATATACTTACATGATATGTATTTTCTAGTTAAGGCCTACCAAAGGACTTCTCGAGGTACCCTATAATATGTCTTCTCTAAGTCAATGAACACCAAATTCAGATCATTTTTAGTGTCTTTATACTTCTCCACAACTTGTCTAAGAAGGTGAATAGCCTCGGTGGTTGAGCGTCCAGGCATAAAAACCAAACTGGTTCTCCAAAATTTTCACACTCTTTCAAAGTCTCTGCACAACCACTTGCTCCCAAAGTTTCATGGTGTGACTCATAAGCTTAATCCCTCGATAGTTGACACATTCTTGTACATCATCCTTGTTTCCCTACTTCCACCTTGAGTTGGCAGTTTGATGCTAGGATATGAATAAACACAGGAAGAAGGGAAGTGGAAAAGGGAAGTAGGAAGGAGGCTGGGATTTTAGAACTGGGCTGGGAGAGAGAACTCTTGAAGAGCCTCCTCCTCCTCCTCCTATTTTCTGCTCCTTCATTACTGTTTATTGTTGGAGTACCTAGCATAAACTAATAATTTACTCCCCAAGTACCAAAAGAAGCCAATTTTCACTCTATTTAATGTATTTTTTTTAAAAGTGCCACACGGAGGTTAAGTATGTCATATTTGGTTCAACCAAACAATAAAGCTGAAAATACAGTTAGAATTAACAATTTCCAAAAGTTGTACCTTACTGAAGTTAAAAAGTTGTACCATACTAATGTAAAAAAGTTGTACCTTTGTGAAACATTAACCTTTTTCGGGATAAGGGATGTATGAAAGTGATCACTGGAGACATTCATATATACAGTATTACTTAGCAGGTCAGACATAGGATGTTGGACTGTAATTTGCTGGTCTGGTCTAGTCTAATCTGGCATGAACATATATGTCTGGTCTCTTTGTACTTTTATAACTATCTAAGTCTGAGCTGGTCTGGACAGATTACAGTCCAAGTAAAAACATCCAAACTCACATACATCATACATTACCTATCTACTCTGTGAGCATAGTGATTAGTGACCACATTTTGTAAGATATATTCATTATATAACTAAGAACTTATATTGTGCACCAACAGTCCAGCAATATAAAAGAATTGAAGCTCTTTATTGTTCAAGTAGCGATTCTATGAAATTGGCAGAATAATTTGTTCAACCTGCAAGGAGGAAGATGAGGAAAGCTCGTTCAGCTCTGACTTCCATTCACGGAGCATCTGATTAAGCTGCTCCTCAAGAACCGCCACCTCAATAGTTCGGCTCTCCTTCCTGAGAGACTGAAGATCGGTGAGCATCCCTTGCAGATCATCAACCCTGTTCTTAGCCCTGTCCTTGAAGATCTGATACGATGATGACCTGCCCGGTGCGTAGCTCCTGGAACCCTTCCCCATCTGTGAACAAACCGTCAGCTATTAATTACCCTGCAAAATCCACTCATAGATATCTTGGATTCCACAAATATCAGTTTGAATTTCTAACAAAGCACACACAGGTAAACTAAACGTAAATAAACCTAAAAGGCTACAACCCATATTAGCAGCTCAAGATGAAACTAAAACTTTCATCATCGTTTTAAAAAAGACACGAGTAGTTCACAAGGTGAATAGGATAATAGCACATTTGATCGAACTCGACACCCAGAAGAAAAACTACAAGTAGAACCACAGAGTTCAAAAAGAAATGAAAACCAGAAAAGGTTCAACCAGTTAATTGATACCAAAAGAGAAGCCAGAGAGTCCCCCGAGTTACGAGCATAAGAAATAAGAGCCAAACAGAGTAGGCCGCTTAAAGGAGTGGGTACCTGGGCGTAACAAAGAACGGAAGAACCGAAGAAGTGTGGTTCTGTGAGAAAGATCGCTTTTTCTCTCTTCTCCAATTCTTTGTGTGTGTTAGAAGAGGAAAGACTCGTGTTTCTACTAACACAACCAAAAACGAATAATAATAGCAGAAGGAATGTGATACTCGGCACATCATCGGGCTCGCGATGATGGTCGGTGGACACGCTGATGTCTTTCCACGAGTTATTTATTCTTTTAGGCGCTGTTTGGTTGGAGCAAGGTGATAGAGTAGCCATATAAAGATTTGTGTGTGTTTGGTTGAAATAATTAGGAGGGAAACGAGACCAAAGGGCAAAGGCCATGGCTTTAGGAGAAAATAGAAAATGATAATAGAAATAATTGAGAGAAAATAGCTCATACTAGTCAGAATCCAATCATCAAACAACAATAAGATCAGACACAGTAGACAAGAAAAAAAAACAGAAAACATTATTCGATCATACGTCCTGGGATCAGCCTTAAAAACTATCATTTACTCAAAAAAAAAATTGACCAGACATGCCCATCAGAAAAAATCCCATGGGGTTTTTTTTGCCTTTCCATTCATGGACGTGATAGCTTTGTTAGGCAGGTGTTTTTCTCTTTGTGGCTTAAGTGTGAAAGATATTTTCAAGCGTAATCCTTTGGATATCATTTGTTGGAATATTTTGGAGAACTTATTATAATCATATTCGGGATCCGGGGGTTTCTATTCCTTTTACTACCCATATGATTTCAGTAGATTTATATATATATATATATATATATATACTCAACATTGGGTTTCAAGTCTTTCCAATTTGAAGCTTCGGTTGGTCAGGGACATTCTTGTTTAAGATGGAAAGACGCTACTCTAGAAATTAGATTGATCTCAGAAAGGAAAGCAGTCTCTTTTGTTCATACTGTGCATGAAGGCAATTGGGTGGCCCATTACTTTGCGGATGAAATTCCTTTTTTAGCTAGATGAACGGGTCTATACCATGGACTTATTTGGCATCCCTTCCTGTAGCCCCTAGAAATAATTACATATTTATAACTAAAATAAAGATTGTTTACAAAATGTAACTAGTGTGTAAAGTAGTAACGTAGTAACTTATGTTCAGTTTTTAAACTTAAGTTACCATGACATCACATTGTAGTCATTATTAGTCATTTTTGTGTAAATAAGTTTTATTTTAGTAATATTTTTTTTAAAATCCCAACTTGTAATCTACTCTTTGTTTGTTCGTGTATTTCCAAGATGTATGCCTCTTCCGGAGAGGTTTAGGTTTGGTCTCCCTCTAACTTATTTTATTTAATTCTAATTTTCAATAAAATCTGATAAATGTTTCTCCGACATTTACGACATTTAGGTTTGGATTACCTACTACGTTTAAAAAAACGTGTTATAAAGCAAAATTATGTGTTATAAAGCAAACAAGGATTGAGACAAAATTGGAAGACCGAATTCGGAAATTGAATACCGTTCCTAAAAATTCTTCCCGGTTTGACTTGGCACGCTTATTAAGAAAGTGGAATAAAGTGGAAACGTGTGGTTGTGATTGTGTAAGAAAAATGTAAAATGAATGTGAGCCACACAAATTGTCCAAAAAGGGAAAGTGAGAAGAATTTTTGGGAACAGCCCAAAAAGGAAAGTGGGAAGTATTTTTGGGAACGGAGGGAGTAATTAATATTAAGAGGGTTTTTAAAAAACACTAATGACATGCAACTTTTTACAAAAATATAACTAATAATTACTCTAATAAATTTACCAAAAATTGAAAAAAAAATAAACAACACTTATTTTAGTTATGTATATGTAATTTTTTTTAGAGAGAATTCCCTAAATAGGAGTAAAAACGTTTTGAAATTTCAAAATAGGATTATCATGTTTTTTATTCCCTGAATAGAAGTAAATTTCTACCAAGTTTGACATTACCAGACTTTAAACATTGCAATTTTTTCAAACTTGACAAATTACTCCTATTCAGGAAATAAAAAACATGATAGTCCTATTTTGGAATTGTAAAACGTTTTTACTCCTATTTAGGATAATTTCTGTCATTTTTAATATTAATGAGTGGAAAACGTTGAATCATTAACTTTGTGTTTATAAAAAACGAATTTGAATATTAATGAGTGGAAAACGTTGAATCATTAACTTTGTGTTTATAAAAAACGAATTTGGACTAACTGTCATATTTGCATGAATAGATGAGAATAAGAATCATAAAAAGATGTCACTTATGAGAATAAGAGCCCGTGTGGTAGCACGAAAATCGGCTGATTTGGCTGTTTCTGCTGAAATTTATGAAGTTTTGGCTGAGGTCACTGTATTGGCTGATTCTGCTGATTTAAGAAAAAAATATTTTAAAAATATATTTTATTAATAAAATAAAGAAAAAATTATATGTAAAAATAGCTAAAATGGTCATCTATAGTAACTTCAGCCAATACAGACAGAAAAATAACTCCAACCTTACTTTTTATGTTTATTACACAATTCAGCGCGTGAAAGCAAAAATTACGTGTTTGGTGAAAAAGCTGGCTGATAAGCCTGATAAACCAAAAAAGAAAAGGTTCCAAACGGCCTCTAAGTGTTTGTGGGGATTATGAGATAAGGTTTGAAGTAGGGGTGGGATCGGGATGATCCCGATCCCGATTGCCCAAATCCCGATCCCGATCCCGAGTCAAACTGCAAGAGGATCCCGTATCCCGTCCCGATTAAGTCAGGATTCCGACATTAAAATCCCGATTAAGTCGGGATCCCGCTAAATCCCGACATGAAGTATCAAACATAAAATTATGTAATTTCTTTAGTTAAACACTAACTTTGATATTTAATGGTTTCAAAATTATTCTTTGTTCATTGTTACACCATATTTATCATCATCTACTTATAAAATTTATTGTAATAATTATCATCACAAATTCACACTAGTACATACTTTTAGAATAATTTTTATTTGTAACTTCAATTAATTAATAGTATAATTTTTGAATAAGCTATCAAGGCTTAGTGAAACTTACTTCAAACATTATATAAAAATCACTAAAAGAAGGATATGTAACGTATATTATTTAAAATTCAAAACTAAGTAGACTCATTCATAAACTTTGTGACCAATGAATATAATGTATAAATACATATGATGATTATTTACTAAAGAAAAAAATCTTAGTCTCGATCATGATTTTTAAAGGGTTCATCAGAACCGCAAAATTTGTAATATTGTTGTGATTTAGATTGTCGGAATCAACAATAATCTCTATTTAGTTAGGATCCCGAATATTCATTTTGGGACAAATGCCGAATAGTTTTAGAGGTTTGATATTGTAAGATACTCATAGTAAAAGATTAATCTATGTAAGGAATAGGTAATTAAAAAAGATATGAAATTATCTAGATACATATTCATTTTTATGTGCTCATATATTTTTTTGGATAAAAATTATATGCTCATATATTTTTTTATATGCTCATATATAATTCTATACATGTGTGTATATGTATGTGTATATATAATGTCGGGATTTTCCCGATCCCGACTTTTAAAAAAAAAAATCCCGGTCTCGTCGGGAGTTTTTTCCCAGCCCTAGTTTGAAGGACAATATGATCTCATAGTGTGTTTTGAGGGACCAATTAAAAACTGTATGTTTGTCATTTTCCTCTTAAAACCCCCAAATTCTCTTATTTTGAGGAGCCATAGAAAGAAAGAATGAGAAGGCATGGAAGACATAGAATGGGAGCAGAGGCACCATGTCCTAACCCACATCATAAGCAGCCCTGAACCCACGCCACCCCCGCTCTACTCCCAGTTCTTCATCTCCACCCAAGTCCCCTGCTACCTCAACTGGCACTACCCGCCACTTCTCTGCCCCACACCTCTCCTCCGCAAATGGGCTCTCTCCCGATTCCTCAACAGATTGACCGCGCCGGAAACCTCATGGAGGTCCCAATGTCCGTACTCTCAGCCGCCGCCGGTGGTGCTTGCCAAAGGGCTGGAGGCGGCTAATTGGGGGGATGAAGAGAAGCGAGAGTACGCCATGAAAAGGGTGAAGAGGAGGCCCCTTGCAAGAAGGTTACACCCTTTCTTCGCCGTTATGGTTCCTAATATTTTGGCTTTATCCCTTTTCCTGTGGAATCCCTTTCCGGACTAGGATGTTTGTACTTGACACTTAAATTTGATGATTTGGTTTGTTTAAGACTGATTGTCTAGTATGTTTAAGCTTGATTTAGTCTGTTTTGAATTGGTTTGGTAAACGTCTTGTCTCCGTGTATTTGATCTGATATGTTTAAGCCTGATTTAGGATCTAAAAAAACATCCTAGATTCAGTGCAGTGACAATCTTTATATGTGGCCGTTTACTTATTCTACTTGGGACAAGTGCCTAATGACTACTCCGTAGAAAATTAGGGCAAAATAGATTGGCAAAGTTGAGAGAGTCCCAGGAAGCGGTCCTGTCCAACTGGTCGTTGGCACACTCTCCCTTATGGGAGGTCTGAATTTCGGTCGGATGACTCGATGGACAAGTGCCTAATGACTACTCCGTAGAAAATTAGGGCAAAATAGATTGGCAAAGTTGAGAGAGTCCCAGGAAGCGGTCCTGTCCAACTGGTCGTTGGCACACTCTCCCTTATGGGAGGTCTGAATTTCGGTCGGATGACTCGATGGACAAGTGCCTAATGACTACTCCGTAGAAAATTAGGGCAAAATAGATTGGCAAAGTTGAGAGAGTCCCAGGAAGCGGTCCTGTCCAACTGGTCGTTGGCACACTCTCCCTTATGGGAGGTCTGAATTTCGGTCGTTGGCACACTCTCCCTTATGATTGTCTAGTCTGTTTAAGCTTGATTTAGTCTGTTTTGAATTGGTTTGGTAAACGTCTTGTCTCTGTGTATTTGATCTGATATGTTTAAGCCTGATTTAGGATCTAAAAAAACATCCTAGATTCAGTGCAGTGACAATCTTTATATGTGGCCGTTTACTTATTCTACTTGGGACAAGTGCCTAATGACTACTCCGTAGAAAATTAGGGCAAAATAGATTGGCAAAGTTGAGAGAGTCCTAGGAAGCGGTCCTGTCCAACTGGTCGTTGGCACACTCTCCCTTATGGGAGGTCTGAATTTCGGTCTGATGACTCCATGGCCCCCTCCCCATACACCCCTGGAGTGAAAAAAAATTGGGAGTCCCAACTGTTCAAACAACTAAAAAGAAAGCTCATGAGACTTGGAGAGAGCAAGTATTTACTTCTAGATTGAACTTTGTACACGCATATTTCCTCTCTTCATCTCTCTTGCTCTCACTCTTCAAGAACATACAATTTTCTCCACATAGAACTATAACTTCTAAAAAAATCGCTTGAAAGATGAATCCATACTTTCTCTATCCTCACTCTATATCAGTATAGTCTGAATATATATAGTCTGAATATAGAATTTTTTTATATCAGTATAGTCTGAATCTATAAAAGGAACAACCTAGATATCATTATGGTCAAATCTTTTGGCCTAATTGAAGAAGAGTTCATGTTTTATATTATTGACAAACATAAGTGATCAATTGGAAAGGGACATAAAAGACTTAAAAACAACATCTAAACCAGAAATTCAAGGGATGAATGCTGGGTGAGAATGAGATTCTTTTGTCTCTAGTATTGGCAATGAAGTAAATTAAAAGCGCCCCCTACTATCATTCAATTATAATGATCTGGTTTATACTGTATTTTTACACCTTAAATCTAAAATGAAGTCCTCATTTCAGTTTATGAGGCTTAATTGAAGATAAATTTAACTCTATAATAATATTTAATTTAATATAAAGTAATATTGAATTACAAATCAAATATGAAAACTATAAAAAATACTACGTTTGTGGATCCTTGCTAATCCATGTCAAATGCCCTGCTAAAACTGTTTTGTCATGAAAGATTTAGCACAAAGGTGTGACAAAAATCTAGGCCACTTCATGAGAAATCATTGTCAAATTAAATCCGATGCTTTTGTATTGCAATATGATAATAGTCCGACATATAAAATCTTACATCCAAATAGAGTTTTGTTGAAGGCAGAAAGATGATACTTGTGTTAAAGTTCGTTTTGAGACATTGGTAAAATTATGCTTCAAATTAGTAAATTTGTTGCACAATATATAGGGTTGGACACCCTCAATTTAGATTAGAGCTTGGGACGTTAGTCATTATAGTGCAAAACATAACTGAAATTCTTATTAGGACTCGTACACGATGTAGTGATGATTTGGTTCAATACATTTATATATGGAGCGCTATGATGCCGCTATCATAGAGTTATGATCCTGATTATGTGTTTCCGCTTAAACATTTAATATTTGTATTTAAAATTAGGGGTGATCATAGTTCGGGACGGTTCAATATATTGCCGAATCCTACATGTTTCCATGACTATTTAAAGGTACGGTTTGGTTCAGTTTTAGAACCACAACTGTTCGGTACCATTCCGTTTGCAAGCAGGATGGTACGTACCATGCCATAGAGATATCAAACAATGCCATTTTTAATGGTTCAATAAGACACTAAAAAGTTAAACATAAAACAAATTTAAATACTTCTATCCATGAATGCATCAAAGTTTAGTCATAATCCAAAACTTTAAACAACTTTTTAATTTAAAATTACATAAACTAGTAGTAGAATACATGGATTCAAAATGTTTAAACGTTAGATACTGGCAAACATGAGACGGTTCATAACAAAAAATCTCATTTAGATCACTTTCGTCTTGTATCTGGGTTTGAAGGGGTTCTACTTTACTGCTGCTAGACCCTTTTGATTCATCTTTGTTGAGGCACTTGACTGAGCCCGTTGTTGGCAGCAGCCTACTGCTCTTATCAAGTTCTTTTGGGATGCAGCTGGGAGCCTTCTTATCGTCTTTAGGATCTGAATGGCTGATATTTCTAACCTTTCCAGCTTTCTCTTTCACTAAGCTATCTTTAAAGACAACATGAATCCATTCCTCCACTACCATGCTTCTTTTGTTGAGGATTCTGAAAACCCTGTTGATGAGAGAGTTTCACGGAAATATCTCTTCATCTGACTTTGGATCAAAGGGTTTGAGATGGGCTTTTCCATTATTGTGGATGTAGCATTTGCATCCAAATACATTGAAATAGCCTATATTTGATTTTCTTCCCTTCCAGAGTTCATAAAAAGTCTTCTTGTGTACCTTGTGGTAAATGTGTTATGGCAAGACTTTATATCTACCATTGTAGTATTGTAGTCATTCGCTATTTTGATATTTATAATCGTTTAAAATTTGGAAAAAAAATGTCTAAACATATTTACTTCATTGTTACAATTTTATTTAAATAATTACGCAGTATAACAAATATCTTAATGGCATTATAAATAAACAAAACACCGACAAAGACAGGATTAGGACCAACCGATCGATAAGAACTGACCCTGAACTGAAATTATCGATGTCGGTCTCGGTTCCACATCCCCCAGGACCAGCTGGTCTGGGACGGGGAATAGGCTCGAAACCGGTCTATGGACACCTATGGTCTATACTACCTTGGATTCTCTCTCTGGGTTTGCAAACATGAACTCCGATCCCTCATGTGTGTCTTTGTTAATTATTCTCTCATCCAATGTAGCTACCTGTGTAGCCATAAGAGGAGCCCGTTTGGTGACCCTTTTTCCGGCTTATTAGCCAGGTTTTTCACCAAACACGTAACTTTTAATTTCGCGCGCTGAATTTTGTAACAAGCAGAAAAAGTAAGGTTAGAGTTACTTTTCTGGCTTTATTGGCTGAAGTTACCGTAAAGGATCATTTTAGCTATTTTTCCATGTAATTTTTTATTTAATTTAACAATATCAAATATTTTAAATATTATTTTTTCATGAATTAGCAGAACCAGCAAATACAACCACTTCAGCCAGAAATTCATAAATTTCAGCCGAATCAGCCAATTCGACCAATTTTAATGTTACCAAACACGCTACAGGTGTGCCAGCCCAAAAACATTATACGGAATTATCTTTTTACGCATATGTTAAAGACTTTTACCTAATTTCAATTTTCAAGTGTACCACGTAGCTACCCATTTGTAAGTTGTAACTTTATTTACCTTGATCAATCTTCCGACCATGTCTAGGTTTCCAATCATGTGAACTTTGTTGGAATCATTTGCCTATTTCTTTTTTGTCCATCATTGCCTCAAACCGTACCACGTAGCTACCCCTTCGTCCATGCTTACAATTTGACATATCAAATTTTGTGAAGTTCTTATAAGTTATAACTTCTTTTATTTATGGTCCAATTTAAAAAAGTATCCCACTTTAATACTCCTTCTGTCCCATTTAAAGGTTCTCGCCCATTATTCACATGATCAACTTAAATCATTCTTAATCTTTTGCTTTATATATCAAATTTTTATCAAACTTAATTTTTTTTTTCAGACTTTGCAGCGGTTTTATTGTAGTTTCTGAATATGTAAATTTTATTTACTAAAAATAATCAGAGTGTGAACAGGGATTGAGTTGCTTTATCGTCAGTCAAGCATTGTAAACCGTAATTGGAAACTCCTAATGGGAGGGAGGGAGTAACTTTTTATAATCTTTTCAATGATATTTATAATGCATTTTCAAATTTTGAATTTTTTATCTTTTTTTTTTATCATCAAAACCAACAACTCCATTAATCAAGTAAATCGTTTACCAATTGGCTTAAAATCGAAAGAGGCGCATCATTTAGATAGTAGGTAAACCGACAAAAAAACTCCTGACAACCGCCGTCTCTCAAACTAGACTCAGAGTTTATCGCATCAGCAATATAATATAACTCGCTGATCCATTAATGGGTACAAATGAGCCAAAGACGGTTACCGCAGTCATTTCATCACCCACACCCAAATCCAAAACCACAGTCTTACGCTTGAAAGAGATAAAACGACAAACAAACATAAACAAACTCAAACCATTAAAATAAATAAAAGCAAAAAGATAAAACCTTCCAAGAACCACCAGCTGTGGTTTGGGAGGTGGTCGGATCGCCTTCACTTCATCTTCCTCCTTCATCACCTTGATTTGCCCTTGAATCGCCTCCAGCCGAATCTCCCTATCCACGAACGAATTGTCGGAAGACGGCACCGCTCCTCGCCAAGAGACGATAGCGGACAAATAAAACTCTAGCGGTGAAATCCTAGAGACAGGACACGAATCCGGGACGATGCAATCCTCCTCCTCCTTTTTGACCGACGAAAAATCGGTCTCCATGGCGGAGTAGTCCAACAAATCATCTTCTACGCTTCACAAAAACTTAAAACAAAATCCAAAGCCCTCCACTCTTCTCCTGTGTTCTACTTCACGTCACATCGAAGGTAAAAGGCTCTGCCGGCGTGGAATTTTAGTTCGGCTGCCGCAACACTACCTCTAGGGTTTCTCACCCTGATAAATTTCCTTGGATCGTCGAAGTGGTTCGGCAAAATAGATTTTTTTTTTATCTTTTTCAAATATCTAATTTTGTCCGAATTTGTTTTTATTTTACATATGCAATATTTGTATCATATGAAAGATCATTGATGAAATTTAATCCAATTACGAGAGCTAAATATAATAGAGTATAGAAATAATATCGAAATAATATGGCAACGAAAGGCAATATTACTCTTATTCCGGAAAACGAATTACTGATCCCTTGGTAGGGTGTTTACATGAAGTATTTATAGAGATTGGGAGGTAGAATTATGAGAAGAATCTAATACAATAAATGCTTAATTAGGGAACTATATTCTTGCTCGAAATAGAACTCCTTTTCGTGCTTCATCCTCACGCAATAATCATCTCTTAATTCCGATCGAGTCATGCCTGTTGCCAAATATCTTTCATCGAATGATAGCTTGCCACATAGGCCCTAGGAATATCCCGGCCTCACTAGAACTCTGCCCAGGCTCGAGGTTTGCTGTCCAGCCCGGCCTGGCTGTGGGTTCCTATCGTGGGCCTGATTTCTAATGGGCCAAGCGGCTTATTTAATATAAATCCCGTTTATGGGCTAATCCTGTTAATTAGACTAATCTCGTTGAAAGCTGATCCCGTTTATGGGCTAATCATGTTAATTAGGCTAATCCCGTTAAAGGCTGATCACGTTTATGGGTTGAGTTACATAATTGGGCCATGACTATGATTCATGGTACCATCAATCATAAAAAATTGGGAATTTATCACAAATAGACTAAAAAATGAAAATAATGTCACTTTTATCACCTTACAAAATTTCTTTCAAAATTAGACTCACTCGGCTTTTCTTTTCACAAATAGGCTACTCCGTATTACGGAATATATCAAACCCGTTGCTGGAGCCTGGAAGCCTCGAAACAGTTCCGCCAAGAAGTGCATGTGTAAGTTCCGTACTTCCAACTAGTTCTACACTACATAGATTAGGAAATACTCAATTCTTGTTTTTGAATTGAAAATAATAATGTAAAAATTAGTAAATTGTAAATAAGATGGAAATAACTCGAAAAATTTGACGAGAATTGAGAGTTGAAAATTTTAATTAAAAACTCAAAAAAAAGGGATTAAAATTTGAAAGAGAGATCAGATTTGTTTAAAAAGTATACAAATGAAAAAAGAGAATACAAAAATTAAAAAAAGTTTAGAATGTCAGAAAATTGTACAACAATACAATTTTCCTTAATGTAAATATTTTGAAATGTATGCTCCAAAAATTCTATGTACAAAGTAAAACAATAAAAAATAATACTCCGTAAAAAAATCAAATTTATATGAAATTAATCACAAAAAGAAAATGTATAAATATACATACGCAACAAAATAGAAATATTTTTGGAAGATAATAGGAACTTTTTTTCAAAAATGAAAAGTATAAATAAATACTTAAAACATTTAAAATTTGAAGACTTTAGAAAAAAATAGTATGTAAAATACCACGTAATATAATATAGTTTATTTTTAAAATTATTATTACTATTATCGTTGTTGTTTTTATGTCAAATTTTGTTGCAATATTTTATATGGTTATTTTTTGTTTCTTTTTGTTTATGAATTTTCATATTTTGTTTCTTATTGTTTAATTATGTTTCTTATTGTTTATTTTTGTTTCTTATGATTATTTGTAATTTTATTAGTATACACAGACATATAGAGTGTTTTTGTGCCAAAGTAGAAAAAATAACTAGAAAAATAAATACAAAAATAAGATAATAATTAAAATCAGGCATTATTAATTAGTATCAACTATTAACAAAAAAACAACAAGATGCAACAAAAAGCATCAGGATGCAACAAAAAACAACACAATAAAACAAAGAGAAACAAAAGGGAAAAACAAAGAGAAACAAAAGGGAAAAACAACATACAATATAGACATTTAAATTTGATGTTTCATATCCTGGTTTAGAATTACAAATATCATTACACAATATATGACAGTGTACAACCAAGCTCATTTTGTAATATACATTATCGAGTAGCCTAAAGGATAAAAGAAGTCCTTGAGATGCAGCATTTCATGTTCCACTATACATGAAGAACAAACCTAAAAACATGCAGAGTTGCAAGTTTTCACTCTTCTAACGAGAGATGGTTCTTTACATCCATATAGGGAAGCCATTCACATGCGATAGAAGATGCGGGGAGATGCTTCGCATCATTTAGCTGCTCACTTCACTTCTACGAAAACGCATGTTGCTTAAACCAAGATCTCATCAACACCCATCAATTCCCCCCGTGCTCCAAATTGAGTTGGTCAATTGAGTTCGTCAATTAAGTTCAAATTCAGATATCTAAATTTGACCTGCATATACACAAAGCCTAAGAGATTGAATACAGACTATGAAGATCTTGTAACATTATCATCTAAGGAAAATTTTGCAATAACACGAACAAAAATCCCACAAGGCCATAATGAGACACCGGATAATAATGTGGTGACTAAATTTGGAACAACCCATAAAACTGGCAAGCTGTATCAGGAATCAGAAAATCATTCAATTGTTTGTCCTCAATTACCATCATAGAGTCCAAATGGTGCACATCAAGTAAACATTGGTGCTAACTAAAACATCATATCACTCATATATGTGGCATGACAGTACCTGCATTGAACGATTAAACCTTTCATACACTAAGATTATTATCATATATAGAGTCTAAATAGTACACATCAAACAAACATGGGTTGCAATCAAAACATCCATATAATCTCCTACAGTGGCAGCCCAAGAGTTAATAGTCACACCAAAACAATAAGCATGGACACCACAATGGAAGGAAGTAGTCAGGAACTAAAGCCGAGGATTAGACCAAAAGGGTACGAATTGAAGTAAGCAGGAGGAGTAAAGACATACTCTGTAAAAGAAAAGAGTATTTGTTGAAATCTCAGAAATTCACAAACTATATTTTATGAAAGGAGTATTTGTTAAAATCTCAGAAATTCAACAAATTTAAATAATCAATTTGAGACTATCCTGTTACTGCCTAATCAATCACTAATCTATGAATCTATATTATTAACACATGCTTATTCCATCACGAATGATCAGAAAAAATGAGGTACATGTGTCCTGATTGGGTATATTAGCATTTCAGAACTCAAACAAGCTATAAACAAGCATTGTGCAATGAAAGAGAAATAAGTCACTCACTCGACAGAACAATTTTTGTAATACAAAAACTGAATCAGGAAAAATAACTATATGAATTTAAATTAAAATTAAAGTGAAAGTGTAGGGAATCTCAAACACATGCATACCTGCAAATCTGAAATCAACCAGGCAGTTAGGCGACGAATCAGCTAGCAGTCGAGCAGGCAGGGGCAGAGGGCCAGTCAGCAGAGGGGGAGGAGAAAACAGCCGCACACATCTAAGACGCCACATGCATCTCTCTTATTTCAATTAGACCAGTAGTGAGGTCGTGAAGACTGGAGATGAACAAACTGTCCAAGCCAATGTACTCAACATTTTTAACATGCCGATTCACATCTAAATCATTCCACCTAGTCTGTAAATATACAGTTTTTATATAAAATAAGCACTAAGAAATGAGCAGAATGCACCTATGCCAAATATTGATGAATACATACGAACAATCAGCTACGGATGTAGTCTGCTATCTCATCATTGAGCTTCGGCAAGTCCCTATCATCATCATTGAGCTTCGGCAAGTCCCTATCATCATCATCATCATCATCAACAATAGGTGATGTAACAACAAAATAACTTCCAATTTCGCCTTGAACCTCATCTGGCCTTTTTAACAATCTTCTTAATCGGACGATCAAATGACTCGGACTTGAGATGCCTGGACAAAGGAAGTGATTGAAATCAGACCGTGCGATGAGTTTCTCGCCGGCATTGAAACGATGCGTTGAACTTCTCATCGGCAATGAAACGGGGCCTTGAGAGGAGCCGTACAGGACAGAGGCCAAACGGCGGAGGGCAGAGCCGCGAAGGCCGGAGGAGAGCCAGATCTGGACGGGAGTAGAACAATCGGATGCTTCTGCTTCAACAATGCCGGGAGTTGGGTTTGATTTAGGATTTAGGTTATTTTTGAAGTAAAAAAACATAATTGAAAACTGAAAAGATTAAAATTGAAAAGAAGAAATCACTGGGACATAAATGATATGTGAGACACAATAGTTGACTTAACAGGATATTTCCACGTTTTTCTAACCCATTTCATACCGAAGCATAGCCCATTTCACTTCTCCAAACCGATCTTGCCTAGTAATGCACCTAAGCCAGCTCACACCTAAAAACTCAACTCCTACCATCTTTAAGGTTTATTTGACATGATTTAGTTGTTTAAGGCTTTGAGCTAAATAGAATATAGAAATTGCTCAATATAGAAGTAAAAATAAACATAATTGTAAAGTAGGAATTAATTAAATTTAAAGCATCCTTAAATATGAGTAAACATTAATTTTCTACACTTAATACCCCTAACTTAATTAATTCTAAAATAAGAATTCTTTGATCCTATTAAAATAATTAAAAATAAAATAAAAATACTATTTAAAAATATTAAAATAATTAAAATGAAAATATATTATTATTATTAAAACAAAACATAAAAAAATAGATAAAACACATTAAAAAATATAAACAATTATGGAGGCCTTTCCAGCAGCCTCGACCACCACCTAACAATGTCACCTTTGATCGGTGAAAAAATGTCATTTTATGTAAAAACCGCCATTTTTCTCGAAAAATGGCATCATATGGCATTTCTAAAAAATATTGGCATTTTTTCCCAGTAATCGGAGTTGGTGGTGCTGGGAGGTTGTTGAGGCGGCGGCGGAGGCTTTCATATTTATTTTATTTTATTTTATTTCATTTTTTAAATATTTTAATTTTTTTAGTTTTTCATTTATTATTTTAATAATTTTTATTTTTATTAATTTTATTTAATATGGAGTATATATTTTTTAATTTATATTTTCATGTTTTTTATTTTTTTGAGAATTTTATTATAAATTAATTAATGTTATTTCTTTTATATTTTAATTATTAATGAAAATGGTTGGAGCTTGGGGCTTGGGTGGGGGTATAATTGTCCAAAAACTAAAGTTACTCATATTCAAAACATCATACTCCTATTTTTGCATTTTGCCTATGTTTTATTCCTATTTGGAGAATTCACTCAATAGAATATGTGGGGACTAGGGGTAGGTCGGTGAAATAAAAAACCGAAGACCAAATAAAAAAAATACCAATCGTAAGCAAAACAAACCGAACGACAAGAAAATCGAAACCGAACTGAATCACATTTGTTGGCTTTCGGTTTTGGTTTTCACCTCTAAAAACTGAACCTAACCCAACAAATCGAAAATTTTAAAATATCCCACCGTATTTACTAATCATTAAGTATAATAATTTATTTAGTTCTTAATTCTAGAAAGTTAATGTTTGATACTAGATTTTGTAAGGAATAAATGTAATTAGATTTTGATGATGCTATAGGATTAGAAAGTTAGAGTACCCCCAATTAAATTTTATGCATTAGAATTTTCAATTGTAAGTATTAGTGTAGTCGACGATCAGAGTTGCTCTACTTTGGATCAGATCAGAAACGCATCAGAACTGCTCAACCAGACTTGCTCTATGAGAACTGCTCCATCAGAGTTCTCTTACCAGAAGTCCATCAGAGTTGCACCCTGAGAAATGCTGCTAAACCTGGACATCTGATAACCGATGAGAGTTACAGATCAGAGGTACTCATCAGCGGACCTATCAGAATCAGAGTTAGAGTTCAGTCAGAAATCAGAAAGCCATCAGAACTCAACTCATCAGAAAGCCATCAGAACTCAGAAAGTCATCAGAATCCAACACATCAGAAAAGCCTGATCAGAGCCCGACTAACACTTAGAAGTTTTCAAGCAACATCCAACAGCTATGAATCCAACGGGTAAAAACATCCAACGGCTAGAAGACTGTGCATGAAAGGAAAGCATTTAATGCACATTAAATGGGCCTGATACGCTGAAGGATTGATTGCAAATGATTGACCACGGAATCCGGGAAGATATATTATAAAAATAGAAACCTTCCAAAACGGCGGTCAAGTCAACAGTACGCGCATTTAATGCAGTTGTCTCCTCCTCCAACGGGCAGACAACCCCAGTATATAAGCTACTCACCGAAGAACAGGGATACAGCTTTGCTACAACTTTTGCTCACCATAATTCAAGCTCTCTTGAGATTCAAATTCTACAATCTTCAACAAGAAAAGTCCTACGTTGGGAAGATTCAAACTCCAAATCTTTCTTCCCCAACAACGAGCAAAGTTCATCCTGTTCTTCAACTCTTCAAGAACTTCATCAAACATCATTTGTGACGAAGCAAGTTGGAGGAAAAACTTTGTTTTTCAAAGGATCTTCTGAAAAGAAGGGCGTCCAAGTAACTGCAGTAGTGAAGTGGTGATACTTCCGGGAAGCTGAGTGAAAGGACCAGCCATCAGGACGTGGAATTGCATCCTGGGTGGCATCTAGACTTGAAGGAGACGAGGAGTGCTTCTTAAGTGCTAGGAATTAGCTTTGTAACCGATCTACTTCAAAGCTAGTGGAACAGTGGACTAGAGGAACGCGTTGTTCCTTGAACCACTATAAAAATATCCGGTGTCATTTACTTTACTGCAATTTATATTTCTGCACTTAGGATATTAACTGTTAACTCTAAGACTTGGAATCTGTGTTCAGCAGATCTTGTTTTCAGAGTTATCAGAAAGGCATTTGCCTTAGTATTTCTGAGGCTACCCGGACAGATCAGAATCCGCTGCCAAGGCCAGTTCTGATATCAGAACCAGCCTTTCTCTGTCACCAGAATCAGACCTTCTCTGATAAGTCACTTTGGACTTAGAGAAAATTTGAAAAACCAATCAGTCTATTCACCCCCCCCCCCCTCTAGACTGATTACCATATTAAACGGGACCAACAAGTGGTATCAGAGCCTCCTTGTTCTTGTAATCTTTTAGGTTACTCTCTGAACAAAGATCCACTTGTTCTTAGCCTCTTCATTTATTATAATGGATAATTCTCTTGCAAAGCATCTTATGTTTACAGATCAGAAGTATGATGATTGGAAGATCAGAATGAAGGCACATCTATGTGCTCTTCATGATGAAATGTGGGAAGTCTTGGAAAATGGCCCCTTTATCCAGTTCATGAAGATCAATCCTGCTCACTCTATTGATAACTCTCAGCCCCAGATGATTGAGAAAGCCCGGTCAAAATGGACCAAGGAAGAGAAAAGGCAGTACAATCTAGATAATATAGCCAAGGACATCCTCTACAAGGCTATTGATGAAAGATACTTAAACAGAATCAAGAAGTGCAAGACTGCAAAGGAAATCTGGGACAAGCTGGATGAGATTGGAGCTGGAGATGAACAGGAGAGAGACAATAAGCTAACCATTGCCATGAAGAAGTTTGATGACTTCAAACTCCTCCCAGAAGAATGCATTGCCAAGATGCATGAGAGACTGCTGATCCTCATTAGTGAGATTTCTGAACTCGGCAAGGAACTCACCATCAAAGAAGTCAACATGAAGATCCTCAGAGGACTGCCTTCAGCTTGGAAGATGAAGGTGATTGCAGTCCAGGAAAGCAAGAACATCAAGACCTATGCCACTGAGAAACTCATTTCTGATCTCAAGGCTTATGAGTTCGAGATGCATGAAGAGAAGGAGGAAGCTCCTGATGAGAGGACCACCACTGCTCTCACTGCCAGCACCTCAAAGGTAAGTAACTTTGACCCCTCTACTCTTTTATCTGATGAGTACATGGCTGCTTTTGCCAGAAAATTCAAGAAGTTTATGAAGAAAGATGGAAGGAGTCCATCTTCTAGCAGAAGACCCCATCAGAAGACCAAGTCTTCTGAGAGCAATGGAGAGTACCTCTACTACAACTGCAGACAACCTGGGCACTTCAAAGCAAACTGCCCCTATCCTAGAGTGTCCAAGAAGCAAGGACACGAAGAAGAAAAGAAGCCTAAAGATCAACACAGAAGAAGAAGAGCATTCGTCTCAGAACAAGTTGAGAGAGATCCACTCTCTGAATCAGAGTCCAGCTCAGACTCCGACTCTGATGAAGCATTCTGCTGCTTGGATGCAGAAACTGAAGACCTTTGCCTCATGGCACAATCAGATGATGAGGTATGCTCCACTTCTGATTCTATTTCTTCTTCGGTAGGCACAGCCTTAAATGATGATCCAATGTCATCATTTTGGAAAGAGTTCCAAACTATTCAAGCCACTTATTCTTTTGTTAAAGATGAGAACAGTAGGCTGAAAGTTGACATCTCTGATCTTAGAAGGGAGACTGAGTACAAACTTAATCTCTTAACTGAGGAAAGAGACAAACTGAAAGTTGAAAATGAGTCTCTTCTTAAAAGAATAAGAGACATTGAGGAACTTGAGAATAGATATAATAGTCTTCTGAAGATGCAATCTTCCATGAAGAATATTGGTGATTCTCATAACTTCACCTCTGGTCTTGGATATGTTGAACCAGAGTCTGGTGAGCCTTCTGTAAGGCCTAGCACCAAAGTTACTAAGGCTAAAAAGGTCATAGTGCCACAGACTCTGAGCCCCAACTGTCATGCTAGTACTTCTGGTACTAAAATTGTACATGAGAAGGTCATACCAGAGAAGCAAAACCTAAAGGCCAAACCTAAACAAATTCTGAAAACTAATGAACCTGGCAGAAAATCTAACAACAGGAAAAGTTTTCAGAAAAATAACAATCAAAGGCCTAACCCTATCAGACAATCTCATGACAATGGTATCAGAAACTGCTATCAGAAAGACAGATATCAAGAGAAGATTAACTATAGGCAGAAGAGGTTGTCTGGTCAGCCTCAGAAGCCTAAAGTTAAGCGCTCCTCTGATCTTGATAGCATATGGGACTTCTTTCCAACCAAGAAGGCTATGCAGAAGTATGCAAACAGAAAGCATGATCCTCACAAGCATCTGTCCAAAGTGAATCATACATCTGTTTACTACA